AAGAATTATATTTAATGTTTGTGTCATTGTTTATACCATGTAGACCCCGAAACTCCTCCTAGGTAGAGCAGTGTGTCCAGCAGACCTTCCTTTTCCATTTGATGGAGGGAACCCACTAGACCCACAGCTGCTCGCTGACCCCCACCTGATGCCAACAGAGCAATGTGGGGAACTGAGTCCTGGATGAAAATATGAAGGAGAGATATTATTTGATAGCTGCACTGCAGTTTTTGGATGCAACAATTAATAACCCTTTCACATCTTTATAGTAAATCTGAAGCTACAGCCATCTGTCTGTAACTCAGTTTGTCATAAAATGTCCAAACAGGAAAACAGCTAGCGGTTCTCTGCTTAAAGCCAAAAAAATCCCCTAATAGCATCTCTAATTAATGCCAACAAAACGATGTGGGGAACTGAATCCTGTTTTCTTCCTGTATACTGTTTCTTGTGTTTCTCTCTGTGTTTTACTCCTCTGACTTTCTCTCTTTACATACATTTTTGCCTTGATTGAGTTTGTTTGTGTCTAATTATCTCCCTGGTGTGTACATAGTGTTGTTGTCTTTTCACCCTTGAATTACTGTGCCTTATGGTGTTTTTTCCTGCTGATTTCTTGTTTTTAGCGTTCCATTTATCTAGCTGTCACTCTGCCTCAGTATTTTGTCTGCATGTGGGCCCACTTTATGGACTACTGCAATGTGGCATGTAAATTATATTCCTGACTCATTGTGCATTGAGATAAAAGATCAAGGCTTCAGGGGTGTCTGCTAGAAAAGCTTTCAAGAAATTTAGTTTTTCCTTTATGTTTTCGTTTGTTTGGTTTTGTTGGGTTTTTTCAGTTCTCTGTTATAGCTTGATTAGCTTGAAGTATGAAAACTACTTGGTCATATTTACCAAAACATCAATTGTTTTTTTTAAAGCCCATATATAAACTACACCCTAAAGAACCTCTTTCCTCTGTTGTTGTTCTCCCTTTGAAGCCCATTTATAAAATACAACAAAAGGTACTGTACAAGACTGCCAGGAGAAGTCCACAAATCCAACAGAGAAGGAAACTAACATAAATGCAAAGAAACAAATTGAAAAACAAATGCATGCTGAGAAAACAGCTTAAAAACACATCCTAAAAAAGTGAATGACAGAACTATAAATATACTGACGACTATTAACACAGATGAAGATAATTACACAAAAAGGAAGTAAACACCACAAACAGACATGATAGAAAACCAGATATCAAATTCAAACAGCTGAGAACAGAAACAGGAGGACACAACTAGGCCTAAACATGATAATAGTGCCCGCCAGACAGAAGGACAAACAGACAGGGTGACACTAAGGGAGCTCAAACTATTACTGCTACTGCTTATAATAATTCATCAAGACATGAACAAAAACACAAGGTTAGAAAACCAAAACAAACTGGATCCAAAGCTCCGCACCAAAACCCATAACAGTTTCTATACTTTGCAATGAAAACAAGAGGCTATTAACCAGTGATGTCCTGTCAGAGAAAGCAAAGCAAGCAGTACTTGCTCAATGAAATCTAAAAATGTATATCAGTTAAAACCAAAATAAATTAGTTTCTCTCTTTGTATCACTTTACAAAAAGTGTTCTGTCCAGAAGCTTTCTCTCATCGTTGGCTCGTGTTAACTTTTCACTTACGTCCAAGTTACGTTAGCTTGACTGTAAGGCAGGCTTGAATCTTCCTGTCTCCAATTCCCTCAGAATCTGTAGCATCTCTTAATTTCATGGGCATATCTGGGTCCCATTAACAATAGTTTTAGCTGTGCAGCTGAGAGGTCGGCAGCTTTGTTGGCTAGCCTGGCATATGGTTTCTCATTGCTGCTCCAATGCTTTCAAATTAGAATTTATGAGAAATCACCTGGTTGACCTAATATTTATATTGCTGTTTTGTTAATAAGCCACCTTCATTTCCCATCATCATCTCTGCTTTCCTTACTATAAAAGACATTACATGCTTTTAAGTACAACAGTATCACCCACTGTATTTTCCTTTATCATATACTTTAAGTACTACACACATTTGGTGAAAGAAATGTATGAGGTAAGTCAAGCTGGAGATTAAAGTCAAAGGGAAAAAGAAAGGGGAGGGGGGAAACAGAAGGATGAGGAGACAGTTTCTATCTTACAGCTGTACAGTTGATTTCCAGAGTGTTGAGTGAATGCAGAACTATTTGTTTCCTCTTGTGAACATACTCCTTTTCACCAGCACACAGAGAGTGGGACTGACGGATAGGTCTCTGCAAAAACAATCAAGACAGAGAAGCACTGACTTCAACCCAGAGGTAAGCTGACTCAGACACTGAAATGTGCTACACATATTGTATATTGTACATTCATATGCTGCAGCAGAGTAATATCATATGAAACCTTATAAAGAAGGCATATTCACTTTTTCCTCACATTTCCCAGGGAATATGTTTATGATAGTATATATGAATGCTAATATCTTTCAGTTCGTCCACACTGTATAAACGGAAATAAGAATAATCTAATAAAAGGCAATATAGAAATTTGCCAGGATAGAAATGATATACATCTGTAAATGCATAATTTCTATAATAATAACTAGTTGACTTAATACTCTTCAGGCTAGCTCCTTATTTTAAGTCTTCTTATATATAAATATATCACAGATTATTTGTATGTTTTGTATTATCTGCATATGTCTGTAAAGTAACTACAGTTATGAATTGTATTTTTAAAAAAATACAAAATAGATCTAAATGGCACTTTAACTTAATAATTTAGATGTTCAACTACGACATAGACCATGCAACATATAGTCAATTCAAATCTATTCTCGTTGATGCCTCACCTCAGACAGAGCTACATTGCCCTCCATGTTGTCCGCTGCCTGTGAAAGAATGACAGAATTCACAAAGCAAAGACAAACCACTGCATTCATGAAACCTGTTAGTCCTGTTTGCATGTTGCGAAGCCAACCTTCTTTTCAAATTAAAAAGTTCAATTCACCCCGCAGGGAAACTTCTTGTTTCTGTCAGCTTCCCTCTAGCTAAATTTGTCTGTGCAGAACAAGAAGTCAAATGAGCCCAAACACGCAGAGGAATGTTAATTCCTACCATGTGTGGGACTTTTACACAAGTATTGCCTAATATGGAAATACTATGGTAAAATCAAATGTCAACTTTTTCTTCTTCACTCACATTTTTCACTCACTATGTGTTTATACACCGCCCTGAAATCAATCATTATTTATTATTAAACTCAGTCTGTCTGCTATCCTGTCTTCCTCCCATCACCAGTCTCAGCAAATGGCTATGCCTGAGCCTCCTAGAGGTTTCTGCCTGTTAAAATGGAGTTTTTCCTTCCCGCTGTGCTTGGTCAAAAGCAGTTGTTTGATTGTTGTGTTTTGGTGCTATGTAAATAAATTGAACTGAACTCCCACATCTCCATATATACCAGTATTTTTGTAGGGAAAATAAAAATGCGCAGGCAGTTTCACCAACATCTAGCCTTCTTTTTAATGGCTTGTAACATAGTGGAAAACTTTATTTTTTCTGCTTCTTTTGGAGAACATAGCAGATAACCAACGATAACCTTTGTCATGTCCTACAGATATTTTACCCAAATCATTGTTTCGAAAAAGTTTTAATTCTGTTCGATCGTATCTAATAACTTTGATACATTTTTCAAGAATGTCCCTGTTGAACCATTGTCTTAAAAGTCTCATCTACACACTACCTGCAAACTTCTAAACGGCCCCTGTGGGGCTCCTTGGGGGCCTTTGCTTTGCTTGCTATATATTTGCCAAGTTTTCATAAGATTTCCTAAATTTTTTATGCTGATGATATTCAGCTGTGTTACTGTTTTAAAGCACATGTCCTTTCTACTGTATTACCGTGTTTGGAGGTACTAAAGATTACCCTGCTGTAAATTCTTTGCAGTTAAATGAAGAAAACCTGAGATTCTGCTTATTGCTCCTGACGGTTTGAAGATTAAAGCATGTGTTGGATCCTTAGGTTCTTTTGTCTTTTTTCTGTTAGTAAGCTTTGTGTTGTACTGGATGGTTGTGTCTCTCTGGATGCGTTCAGTAAGCAGCTGACTCATTCTCCTTTTCTCCATCTGAACAATGTTGCTCAACTGAGAGATGTTGTGTCCTAAGCTGTAAAGGAAATGGTTATCCATGATTTCATTTCCTCTCATTTCGATTATTGTGTTTGTAATTCTCTTTTTTCTGTATTAGGAAAACATCTTAAAATCTCCTTCAAATTGTTCAAAATGCTGCAGCAACAGTTTTAACCAGGACTAACAGGAGCTCACACATTACTCCCATTTTATTTGCTCTCAGTTAAGTTTAGAATACATTTAAAAAATTTGCATCTTCACTTTCAGAGCCATGCACTAACATATATTGCAGACATATTCCTCCTCTCACTGTGTCAGGTCTTCAGGTCGTGCTTCATACTCACCTAAAGACTCATGGAGACCATGGTTTCCAGGCCGTAGCACCTACTCTGTATAATGCTGTCCTTTTAACTATTCACTCTGCTATGTTATGTTTAGATCATAAAACATAAAGATGTTATTTTTTACCCAGGCTTTTAGATACTCATATACAGTACTTTCTTTTATATTTTATTTAGCTTGAATTACAGTTTCTATATATTTTTTTCTTTCTCAGTTTGAAGCAGTGAACCTTTGTCTGACAAAAGTGCTATACAAATCTTTGAATAACAACTTGAGGCAGAACCTGGCCTATAAATGACTGAATAAATTCAAATGTAAAATAGTTAAAGAACTTTTTTCTCCAAATACTTTACCCAACAAAATAGAGGCTTTATTTAAATTACAACAAAAGAAAAAAAGTTATGTTTTGCTTTGCAGATAAACGCACTGTTAGAGTGATATGAAGGACAGTTAGATGTGAACATACAGAACTTGTTCTGCCTCCATATCATTTTCTGATATGTCTGTTTGACGTCAGCATTGTTCTAATTTACCATGAAGTTGCCTGATAGCAGGACATAAAAAGGACTTCTGAGCTAGACGAGAATCTTTAGTCTGCTCCGTCCACATCCAGCCATGTTGTGTGGATATACCAGCCGGGCGACTGGTCTGCTCTGTGCTTGTATTGTGATGATGGGATCTATGGAACTACCTGTGGACAACAGGAGGAACCTGTGGACAGTCCCTCAGCAGAAGAATCCAGCTCTTTCAGAGTTCAAGGTGAAGAAAATCATTCAGTCCACAGAAGCTAAATGTCTTCTGAAGCAGGTCTTATGAGTCCTGATGTTTCATATTTAATCATGTACAGAGTGGTTTGAGTGCTCTTGTTGTGTTTGCATTATGAACCAAACATTAAGATCCAAGAATGAGATAGAAAGATATGATGTTTGGCTTTTAATGGATGTGTAACTCATGATGTTCGTTATGAAACAGTCAAGATCCAGAAACAGTCAAACATTAAAGAGAAATTCAATGTTTTTACACATGTTTATCTAGTTTTTTGTCGTTTTTTTAAATGGCAAATCTTTTAAAGTGTATATTTTAAAGTGTATATTTAAAATGACACTTTACATAGTTAATATTTATGTTGTAGATCCCAACCTTAAAGTTTTCTTATGTGCGTCCTGTAATACTTCCTTGTGTGTTGCAGAAGTATGTACATCAGTCACAGTCCTTATCTGCTGGAGAGCAGGAGTTTGTCCTGAGGAGGAAACAAGTAGTTCAGAAATCACTCAATAAACTGGGACTCACATGTACACTGGTGAGAAAACTCTCAAATACATAAGTCATAAGTCTTTTTTTCTTCCTTCCCTTTTTCTTTGTCAGTAGCTTATTTTTCAGTGCCAGCCAGCTTTTCAGCTTTTTTATATATACAGCATATATATAAACTAGAGTAAAATGACATAAATTTCCGATCACTTTAAGATCTCTTGACTTGTCTGCTTGGCCATTTCCAGGAATTATTAAATAGGATAACATGCGCATTAGAAATCAGAGAAATCTGGACCAAACAGAGCACTTCATTCTCATTGGACTGTCTCATCTGTCCACTGGGTAACTTTATTTTTCCATCACCCACCTGTTTTTCTCTCTCTTTTCACCAGGATATGGTTCCTCACATTGCACTGTTGGGGTCAGGCGGAGGTCAGAGAGCAGCTGTGGGTCTGATGGGATCCCTCTTTCAGATGGAAAAAGATGGTTTGCTGGACACTGTGCTCTACCTGGGAGGAGTTTCTGGGTCTGCCTGGTAAACAAGTACAGACAGAGTCACGCTATACATAACTGGTTAGCTAGACTTTACTAGCTAGAAGGCTGAATAGTTCATTATAATGTGCGTGGGCTGAGTATTTTGTGGTCTGACTGTTTCCCTCAGGTCCATGGCCACCTTATACAGTGACCACCAGTGGAGCACCAACATGGACAATGCTGTGTCCAGGCTGTCGAAGCCTGGGATTGGGCTTACGGATGTTCTGATCTTTTTGGCCAAGAGGGCACAAGATGGTCACTTCTCTCTCACTGACATCTGGGGGGTCTTAACCTCTGGTTTCATCATGAAACAGGTAAGGCCAAAAGAACTCAACTGGACTCATTTTATTCTGGAAATCCAGAAACACGGTAATGTGGCTTCACACTGCAGGATGCCTGTGAACTGAATAAATGAATGAATGCAAACATTATGCTAATAATGACAGAAAGGCTTGTGTCTCCATACAGCATACTAAAAGTCTGCGCTAAACCACCAGGTGTCAGTGTACTCGCTCTATCACAACATGATAAGAATACACTTTATTATGATGCTTTAAAAAAGACATAAATATTGTTATAACTTGCCCTTAGGTTACATCATAGATTTAACACAGAAGTCTAAATTAAGCTTCAGGAGAAGCAGAGACTTTACGCTGTATAGGGTAATGCTGCGAGCTACACAAATGCAAATCAGGGAAGTAAGATTACAGCAGAATTCCAGAAGACACACCTGATGACCTAAAATGCACCGACTTCCTTCTAAAATCCTCTCTGGTATAATTTGATTACCATAATTAAATTCTACAGATGAACAGATGAAGAGCAAAACGTCAGTATGAGCCTAAACCAGAATCAACCTTTTCTAACATTAAAAAAATCATCATGGGAAAAAAGAATGAGTAGGAGTGACGGGTGAGATGGAATCCAGTTCAGCAGGTAGTTCCGCTGCTGGTCCAGGGTGATTTTCCAGCTAAAAAGCCCATCTTCACTTTGTGACCATGTTATCACATGCTCCATGTGACATACATACTACTGCATCCTTTCCACTGTGTCATTCCTGATTCTTCTGTCTGTTCAATGCATTCTGGGGGCAATCACTGATGCGTATGAAGTGACGCAATGCTCTGCAATGCAGCTGGTGTGGATTGCTCTCAGGTCATTGTTAGGTTATTAGGCAGTTACAGCAAGAAAAATGCAATATCACGTAAGAATTCAATAAGGTTTTATCAGACTGCAAATAAGAGAGGTCTTGTTAGTTTTCATAATTTATGTTCCTAAAGCACATGATCCATCCCAGTCTTAATTTTATATTTATTTCATTTATCTCAGTTTCGTGTTGACGGTTTATTTATTTATTTATTTATTTATTTATTTATCTGGTTCATTGTTTTTGTCAGTTGGATGTCCGAAGTCTTTCTGAGGATGGCACAAGCATCACCAATCCTTATCCCATTTATAGCACAGTGAACAAAAACTGCTTGCAACATGATTCTGAAAAAGGTACTAAAAACAAACAATTACGCAAACATACGTCTCCAAATGTTATTCATGTGTATATTGCTCTTCTTTGAGTCACTGACTCAGTCTTTTTGCTTCTGTTTTTCTGTGTTTGTCTCAGGCAAATGGTTTGAGATGACTCCTCATCAGGCTGGCTTCATAGATCTGGGTCTCTTCATTAACACTCCAAACCTGGGCAGCAGAATCCATGGAGCTGGTTCTGACGTCAAAGGGCCAGAACTAGACATGGTCACGCTGCAAGGTGCGTCCATCTCTTTGTCTGCTAGAAACACCAACTCCGCCAAACAAAGGAATGTAATAATAATAATAACTTTTATCTTGTGTCATGAGCATTGTTGCAAAGGTCACCAGCTGTCACTTTAAACCTCAGACAAAATACACTTGGCCAACAAACACAAAATTCATGAATTTTGTTATTTACAGTTCAAATAGAGATCAAATAATAATTAAATGAACATTTGTTATTGCTGTTAAGAGGTCATGCAAGATGCTTTTAGATCTACTTGTCAGATCTACTGACAAGTAGATGCTTGTCAGTGTGATGCAGGTACCTGCGTGTGGCTCTCTGTGGAGCCTCAGGAATATCTGTACCTGTATACAACTGCACTGCTCATGTGATGATACTGGATCGTGCAAAATCCTGTCCTCAGACTGCTGTACAGTGCCAAGAACCTCCCACATGTCTTCCACTATTCCCTTGCCCTAATATTATTTTTATTTACAGTTTTCCTCATAGGTGTATTGTTCTATTTTTATTATTAATATTAATGTTTTCACAGTGTGTCTCCTTTGTGTGTCTGGTCTGTTCTGCAGGCTTAGTGGGGAGTGCTTTAGCAGACGATGAGAGTGTGGTGACCTATATTCTTGACTGGTTAAAAGGTAGAAATCTGAATGTGTCTTGTTATGAGAAAGCATTTGCTAAATGCATTTAATATGCAACAGTAGAACTAAACAACTGTTTGTGTGTGCTCAGTTCTAGTGGGGAAGGAAGCTACTGATGAAAACAACCCGTTGGAGTTTCTCTGGACTAAAGGTACAGTCATTACATGTTACTATAACTGGATCATCCATCCATTTTCTTTCCTTTATTCAATTCAGAGTTGTGTGGCAGGTCACGGAGACAGACAACTATTCACGTTCACATTCACACCTCGAGTTTCTTTAGAATCGCCGGTGCACCCCATGCGTGTCTTTGGACTGTAGGAGGAAGCCGTCGTACCCAGAGAGTGTCCACACAGACATAGTAAGACCATAGAAAGTGTGGATTCGAACCCAGGACCTTCTGGTCACCCTAGCTTTTTTATTCCATTTAAAATTATTTTAATCCGAGGAAAAAAACAGGAAACATTTGACAAACTATGTCAAATAAAATATTGAAAAAAAACTGCTTTGTTTATAGCAGTTCGTTTATGTTTTAGAGGTTATATCCTGAGTGTGCACTTCATATGAATATCATGAGCAACCTGTAAACAGTGTTTTATCACAAGTATATTAAGTTTGGCCGGTGCCATAAAATCAGTCCAGATCAAATTAAATTTAAATTGAATTAATTTAATTTAAAGAGTCAACAACAAACCCAAATCATCTATATTGCTGGTGTTTGCCCAAATAATATGTGCCACAAGACAACTTCAGCTATGACAAAAAGCGATGGATAAACACCTGAAAGCTGTTTTATTGTACCAGTACCACCATTGCAGTTTTTGGACTCATTACAAGTGATAACAACAGACTCCTGATCTACAGACATCCAGAAAACACTTTACTGTTTGCTTCAGTTAATACTGACTGTTAATGTGAAAACGATTCATCTAAAAGTGAACATATGATCTTATTTTTTAGAGGGCATCAAAATAAACTACACTGCATCATCTGAGATGAAGCTCTTAGAACTGCATAATGTGATCTTTAAGGACTGGTGTCAGAAAACTTTGGCCTCCTTACAGTCGTGGAGTCAGAATATGGATGAAGGACCAGCCAGATATTACGGTCAGTAATATAAAGTTTGTTATTGTTGATCAACACAGTTTTAGCAGAAAGAAAGCTGAGAGTGAGACGGTATGGGCACAATGTCTGCTGTGACTATTACTTTAATTTAATTCAGTTTTATGTATATAGCATTTCCATCTGTTTTTGGTCTTTACCAAATCCAGACTTAAAGATACAATATACTTCTTACTTTCTTTAAAAAACAGTCAGAAGCTGGCACATTAATGATTGTAAAATGTGCCTGTGCAACAAAAAATGAATGAGAGCTTATGTAAGGAACTAAAACAGAACATTTATGAGTCACATATCCAAAAGAGTCAAAATCCAATACAAAACTGAGCCCCTGCTATGACATGCATTGACTCTGACAGCTCCATGCAGTTCACTGAAAGCGTCTTGGCAGTACATTGTCTGCCTGCAATGGTCAGAAAGTGTGGTATGGTGTATAAATGGTCAGCATTTTAGGTATATGATGTAATCAATACCAGTGGGACATTGCATGTCCTGAATCAGTCACACTGCTATCAAATTCACACCGATTTTCATCAGGCATTGATATTACAATGGTTTGTATGCTGTTGTTGTGTCGTAAATTGACATATTTACTGTAATAATCATTTTCTATCATGTGTGGTCAGAGGCTAAACAAGTCTCAAATATCTTTAAAATGTGTGATGGCAGAGGGGCATGCTGGGTATTTCCTGACCTCACTGCCTGTCACAAAATGTAACTATTTATTTTTCAGCATATATAGCAGCAGAATTATAAATTATGTTTAGGATGGCAAAGCAAAAAAAAAAAAGAGAGAAGAGTACGAGGCTCAAAAGATGGAGTGCTGATGAGTGAGTAGTTTGTGTTTTGGTAAAAGATTCAAACACTGTCACAACTATGAAACTACGTAGTTATATTCTAAGGAGCTTTGAAAGAAACGTCTGGACTTCTTTAAGCTTTCTTGAAGACATTTCACCTCTCATCCGAGAACTTCTTCAGTTCTAAGAGCAACTGGTGAAGAGTCCCAGATTTAAACCCTGTGGGAGTGTCCCCAAGAGGGTCATGGACCCCTTATTGATCCGCTACCTAATCGCACGAGCCATAGTGTGAAAACGGGTGTAGGTCACAATCAGCCAAGGTTTCAGGTGGGCCCATTGTGAAACCTTGACCAACCCTATCATGTGATTTCCTGAGGGCAGAAGGCCCAGGATGTGAGTAAGGCATCTGGGAAGGATCTCAAAACTGGATTATCGATGGCAGACAGTTAGTGTCATAAACCACCATCTCTGTTCAAAGATGGTCGTTCACACTGGACATCGATTGCCTCTTTCAGCCCTCTTTCAAACCGTCTGTCTTCTCTGTCCAAAATGTGAACATTGGCATCCTCGAACCTTTGACATTTAGATGCAGATGGACAGCCGAGTCTTGTCCCATCAAAGAGGCTCTTCTATGTTGTGCTTCACTTCTCTGATGAGAGGTGAAACATCTTTAAGGAAACTTAAAGTCCAGACGCTTTGCTTTCCAAGCTCCTTAGACTTATGACCCAGATGACCGAGAACCTTCACAGATATATGTACTTATATCATAATACACGTATGCTAAATAGAAACTGGTCTGCAGGTTTTTGAATGAGGAATTCTGCAAATGAGTGTGCTTGCTTGGTATGGTGAAACCATCCAGTCGGTCTGTGAGGACCTGTGGTTAATGGGTTTGTGTCTTTTGTTCCATGGTCACATTACAGTTTGTTTTATCCCACTTTTCCAAGGACAAATCTGTGTTGGCTTTCTGGTAGGCTAGTTCAAGAAGATGGTGTGAGATAAACAGCGTGTTTGATACCCTGAGCTCTGTTTGTTGTCCACGGTGCAGCTCAAAAGCAGGAGTGATGTTACGATATGATCATGACCATCTGACAAACAGAAAATGACTCCAAATGAGCATGATTGTCACATAAGTGGTGCATGTATTAAATGCAGATAGCAAGTTGCAGCTTTCAGTTCTTCATTATGTTGCTTGGTTTGTTTCCCCAGTTTCTTGGTTTATACAAACACTCATCGCACAGATTAAAAAACTGGAATGGGGCAAAACTGAAAACTTCCTCTACCAATACCCAGGTAGACTGATGTTCTTAAACTTTACCATACACTTATTTTTTAGAGTACTATGTTTTGCTTGATAGATGATAAAAACTGGCAACTGAATGATATATTGTTATTTATGTTTTTTGGAAGATGCCAGAGTGCCATCATGCATTAGAGTTAAAGAGTTTCTGCAGCTCATAGATGCTGGTGTGATGATAAACATGCCCTACCCCCCCTTCCTGGGAGAAAAGAGAGACACTGACCTCCTTATTGCTCTGGAATACGGAGCTGACGAAACCTTCAGGGTAAGGTGCGAGCATATGTGATATGTCACGCAAATGTATCCACACAGCTTCAGGAAAAACTAATGTGAAATTCTCCACACAGACTCTGATTCTCGCCAGAGACTATGCAGCCAAACTGAAGAAACCTTTCCCAAAGTTAGAGGAGAAATTCCTGAAGGAGAAAGACTGGCCAAGGCCCTGCTATGTTTTCAAGGGGAAAAAGAAGGAGCCCACCATCCTTTACATGCCACTCTTCAACAGGCAGAACTGCAAAGGTTCATCAAACACACACCACACATAGAGAAAAGGAAAAAAACATCACATAATGTCAGCCATGATCATCAGCAATTCTCTTCTGGTCCAGATGAGAACGAGTTCAAAGCAAAGATGAAGGAGTTCTCCACCTTCCAGCTTCCATTCAGCCAGCAGAAAATCGAGTTTTTGTTGGAGACGGTGAAAGCGAACATGAAGTACAGCAAGGACACTCTCCTCAGGGAAATAGCCAAGGCTGTCATCCGCCGACACATCAAGGCTTCAGATGGCGTCCCGGTGAGCATTTAGATGGTGGACACATCTTCCCCCATGCATGAGAAAAAGTACATAAACAATGTTTGTCCTCTTTTAATTTCTCATCATCCCACCCCAATCTATCCATTCATCGTCTTAGTCTACTGTTTTGTCTTCTTTCTTCCATCCGCCATCCTCTTATTCTCTTTCTTTTCATCTTCTTTCTGTCCTTCTGGAATTATTCTTCATTTTTTTCTCTCAACCTTTCCTTCCCTTCCTTTTCTCTGTTTCCTTGTAGTTAATTTTCCTGTATTAGATTATTATGATATTTTTTTTATTTTCTTTCTTTCTCTCCTTCTTCTCATTTTCTTTTCATCATGTTTGTTCTTTTTGTTCCTTCATTTTCTTTCTTTTGCCTTTAATATTCTGCTTCATCTCATTTCTTTTCCTGTCATCCTCTTTGTCTTTTTTCCTTCTTTTCCCTTGTCAATTCTTCCTTCTCCCTCTTTTCTCCCTATATAGACTTTCTGTCTTCATTGTTTCCAGTATTATGCGTTATCCGTTAAAATTCACACGTCATGCATCACACCAGCTTTATTTTATTTCTCGATTACTGAATTACCTCAGAGGGCACTGTGAGAGTGCATACACAAATCTCAAGGCCGGTACCCAATTTATTCTTTGAGAGGAGACTCCAGATACACACCAAATTGAACAGTTCATTAAATTGTAGTTTTTGCGTTACCTTGCTGACAAGAGAGGCATACAAGGGCTAAGTCCTCATTGCTGTTATTTCAATATAATTTTGTAGAGGAGACACTAGAGGTCCCCCCATGTTCACTTATCCCAACAACTGCTCTAAAGTGCTGTTCTCTGTGGGGAGCTTAACACTAGTGAGACTAGTGCAGCTTTGTGTTCAGATTTGTAACACACGTTCTTGCACAAAAAACAGTGGATTCTGCCCCATCACTTGCATGAAAACAACCTTTTAATATCCAGTATGAGTTAAATGTCAACCTGTGAACCTTCAGCTCAGAAGTACGTGTAAACCTGCCCTGACAGCTAGTTTTATTCATAAAGTGCTGCTTCACAACAACAGTGACCTAAATGTGTTTTACATTGTACACTCATAAAAGATTCTTTTGCAGTAATTTTGTGTAAAATGCAACTGATATGTTTGATATAAACTGAATCTATAACAATCAAGTAAATTTGAATTGAACAGATTTAATCAGATTTAACTTTTTATATTGTGTTTTTGTAAGAAATTTATATCTTATTAAAAGAAAAACAGATGCAATCAAATTTGGGGCATGACTTCTTTTTGAGCACATTAAGCACAAACCTAGAGAGAAAATCCCATTGATCTAATCATCTCTGATGAGTAAACATTTGATGACATTGAAAAAAAAAAGAGCGCTTCTAACCCTCTGAGGTCTGTTTTCATTCCAGCTATGGTCACTGGCTTCAGATGTTCAACACTTTACTAGAGTTCTGAAAAGGAGGGACAAAGGTGACAAACAGGAAGCAGCTCAAGCCTAAACCTGATCCTACGACGGTTTTGAAGTGCTTATTATGCGTCTTTTTGTTTTAGCAATCACAACCGCCGTGAGGCACCAAGCAGGGGGATTGAAAGGGTTCAAGAATCCAACAATTCAGGGTTTAAACAGTAAATGTTTTGTGGCTCAATGTAGCAACTTCACATGTCCACAGAGGAATGGAATGCAATGACACTATTGCATTATTATGTTATACTGACAGTGCTTATATGACTTTGTGTAATGTCTTGTACATGTTTTGTTTTTCTCTGTGAAACAAGGTTTTTCACTTTGCAGTTATGGTGGTTTTAGAAAATTATTATTGTGATATCTGTAAAAATATGTTTACAAAGTTGACTGATGCTAAAAGTAAAATGAATCTCTAACTTTGTTTGTGTGTAGTGTTTTTTAGTACATTTGTTAACCTTATTTTTTATTTTTGGCCTGTCCCATTTGGCTCTTTTGTCATCAGAATTATTGTCTAAAGACAAAGAAAGATGCCCAACGGATTTACTTTGCCAAATGAACCATCCCAGCCTTGCCGTAATGGTCTATTTGATTCACCTTTTATTCTTTATTTTATTTTATTTTCACTTGCTAAATACGGGACAGATTTGACTGGGGAAAAGAAAGGGGGAAAGAAAAACAGCGGGGAAGAGGGACGGGGATAAAGGGCAAATAACAAAAACAAACAAAATAAGTAGACAAAAAATACAT